TCTCTCTCTCTCACTTATTCATTGCATTACATTCCTACTCAATTAGTCATTAACATTTTATGCTTTTTTAAGCTAGCTATCTCTTTCTCTCTCTCACTCTCTCTCTCTCTCATTTATTCATTGCATTACATTCCTACTCAATTAGTCATTAACATTTTATGCTTTTTTAAGCTAGCTATCTCTTTCTCTCTCTCTCTCTCTCTCACTCATTTATTGTACAATTTTCCTACTCTATCATCCATAAACATTCTATGCTTTTTTTATCTAGCTATCTCACTCTCTCTCTCTCGCTCATTCATTCATTGCAGCTAGATAAAAAAAAGTATAAAATGTTAATGAATGATTGAGTAGGAAGGTTATGCAACAAATGAGTGAGAGAGAGAGAGAGAGTGAGAGAGACAGAGACAGACAGACAGACAGAGATAAATAGATAGTGTTATAAAAAAATGTATGAGTGAATAAGTAACTAGAAAAGTAATGTAATGAGTAAGTGAGAGAGACATGTATGTGTATATGTATATATAAACAGATGAGAAACATTTTAAAATATGTACATTTATATCTCTTTTACTAACTCATTGCATTATCTTTCTACTCACTCATTCACTCATACAATTTTTTATAACACTTTTTCTATTTATTTCTGTATCTCTGTCTGTCTCTTCTTCTCTCTCTCTTGTTCTCTTACTTCTTGTAGTCATTCACTAATTGGCAGCACTTTCTTGCTCACTCATTTGTTTATTCACACTTTTTGCTGTGATATATATCATGAGAGAGTGATATATATACACACTTATGTTGGTTTTTTTATCTATTTTATCCTATCTATTTTATCTTTCTCTTTTTTTCTCTTTTGTTTCTCTCAATCACTCACTCTCTTATTCTGCATTTAGCTCTTTCACAGACTCATTTATTCACACAATTTTATTATGTTATTCAATTGTGTTGAGTGATGGGCTTCTGTGAACCAAATGCAGGAACTTAGGTGCAATAATGAAGACTGTATCTGTGTCTCGAAACGTTTCGACT